ATTTTAATTGTTTTATATATATATATATGTAATTTTATTTTTGGCTATGGAAAAATGAAAAATAAATTATTACAATTGAAGTGAATCTGTTTGTTATTTTTATTACTGCATTATATTGTTTGGTTGATTAATTTAATTGTACAAAACTAAGAGATACTCCACTGAAAATGTATGCGTTTACCTGCTTTAATGTAGAGTATAAGGATGCATTTAATGAGCTGTCCCACTTGGAGGCAGCACAGTCCTTTCTAACAGATTGTGCCTATAAGGACTTTATCCTCCTAATATTTTAATTTTAGGCTGTTACACCTTCAGAGGTACCCACAAGAGATGTCTTTCAAAAAAATATACACCCCTTGCTCTCTCTGTTATGTTCTTCTCAACCTCCTAAATTCCATTTTCAGGGGATTGCCCCTCCCTTGTTGTGCCGCACCCCTCCCCCGTTTTTTATCCTGAGGTGAGAACACAGCATGCACATCTGGAGGTGATCCTGACTGCACAGGAGTAGCCTGTGGGAAGGGGTGTGAGGTTAAAGATGCACTGCACTCTCTGTATGTATACATTTATGTGTGCATGCATGCCTTGAGGGTGACATGTGACCCTGACTCCCAATTGCTCCTGATTACAAACAGCTGGTGGGCTGTGGAGCCAACCAATCAGGTAACGTGTTGCGACATCAGGTGGAAGGAGGGAGGAGGACAGGACATATTAGATGGTTTTCACTTCTTGAATTTAATGAGGGATCAGCAGCGTCAGGCTGATGCATTAGCCAGCTGGTTACATTTTATTTTCAAAACATTATATTTACCCACAGTGAAATATCAACTTCTCTGTTGTGTATTGCATTGATCATTATCATGTGAGATCAGTGTCACTGTGGCTCATGGGGCTGATCAGCTGAGGATGGACCCTGTCTCAGCACACAGGAATTCAGAAAAATCCTTTGTGCTCATATGAAGGTCCTGTGGTTTCTATGACGAGTCAAATGGAACCGAAGTGCATGTTTGCTCCAGAGGACAGACACAAAATGTTAAATGATTAACAGACATGCATTATTGATTCTTCAGTAGTTTGTATTTTGTTGTCATTCATTTACAATGAGGCATCTGAGCTGATTGAACATTGTGTGCATGAGGAGATTTTCATTTGTCATAGTTGGAAAAGCAAAGGTGTAGCCTACCTAATAAATGAATGCTCTGTTCATGCCTAACAGCTGAAAGTGGCACATCTGAATGATCTGAAATGCAGCTATATCTGTCTTTTTGGCAAATATTTGCTTTTTTACTGAGGTAGAAGAGACAATTCCTATCATTAGCTGCTACATAGCTGAAAACGCCTGGCCCGATTCTGTACAAAGGTAACAAAATCTGCTTTTCACAGGAAATTATGTGCCCAGGTATTGTTTTGGCACCACAAGTTTCTTGGCACCTGGTCCTGGCCAAGAAATAGATAGTTCATCTGTTTCCCCTCATTGTGCCAAGGGCTCTGTGCTAAGCTAGCCAGCTACTGAATGTAGCTTCATATTTACCATAAAGATGTGATAATAGTATCCATCTAACTCTCGGCCAGAAAGTAAATAAGCCTATTTTGTAAAATGTTGGAGTGTATAAATCTTGATTCAGCAAGTGATTTCCATTGGTTCAGCACTAACTCAGTTTTGATATTATTTTAACAGTTGACTAAATATTGTGCTTTCTAGTTAAGTAACAGGCAGATTTTCATAAAAGACACGAGGGTTGGATTCTGCTTAGCTGCTTCAGTTTCAATTCAACTGTTTCAGGTTTATTGATATAGCACCAAATCTCAATATTTCAGGACACTTTACAAAGTAAGTTCTAGACCTTATCATCATCATCATCATTATTATTTATTTTTTTAAGGAAAGCCCAACAAATCAAGGTCCTGCTATTGTGCTTGTTGGCTCGCACTGTCATGGATTACTGTGACATGTAAACAGAACAAAGCCATTGTTAATACTATTTAAAATGTATGCTTTTCTGACTGTGTGCTGTGAAAATGGTCCTCATACTGCTCCTTAAACAATAATGTGAAAATGAAGCTCTAACATTCTTATCTTGAATACACTAAAAATAATATTTGTTTCAGATCTAAAGTGTAAGAGGTATAAAATGAGAATATTTTTGGAGTTATGCTATAAAACCTTACAGTGTATGCCTACTACAAGCTCAAAGATAAAATTGCTGGCCAAGTCTAAGAATCAACCAAAACAGTCCTGTTTGTCTTTTTGTCTGTGTCTCACTGAGCTGCTGTCCTCCTCTCTCACTGAACAGAGGCTGCTCTTGCCTCAGCCCTCCCCTCCATCAATCTCTGTCATAAATCTGTCAAGCAGAGAGAAAGGGAACTGCTGAATACAGATTTGTCAGCAATTAATCTAACCTCTATTACCAGACTTGGATATTGTGTCCTCTATACCAGAGAACAATAAGTCACTTTAACATGAAGCACCACACTGCATGGATGTGTTTGTTAGGAGGAGAGTATTAGCGTGTGTGTGTGCACATGCAGGTTCCATAGATGGTGTTTGTTATTTTGTAGATTGCATATAAAACCGTGTATCAGAAGTCTCTTTTGTTCAGCTTTCCCTGCTCAGAGTGACTGTGTTCAGTGACTGTTTTTTGTGTACAAAGGGACTTAGGCTAATGCAGTTATGTAATGAAAACCCAGAGCGTCTCATATGGATGCCAAAGGCACCTTTTAGCATTCATATGAGACGCAAAAGGTACTTGGCAAAACCTCAATATTTGACGCCCTGGGAATGAGAATGTGTTGAGTGTTCTGAATGTGAGGCTAGCTAATCGACATTCTGCATTTGATCAGACGAAAAGGCACACGAAGAGTTAATGTGCACACACATGTACTGCTGGTGTGTGTATACCATTGTGCTTTTATTGATTACCTTAAGGAGGTGGATTAGAATCAATATCGTGTTTCCCATACAAGATGACCATGAGAATAAAAAATACACTGAAATCAGCATTAGAAAAATGAATAGCGTGGTGGTTGTATATGCCTGGATTTGTGGATTTTTATGGGATTTGCTGATATCAAGAAAATGTTTAACATTACCGGCCTTATCACTGAAATACAAGCACAGGACTCTGCTGACACTAACATTGCATGTGGGAGACAATGCACACATTTCCTGCTCCTTTTCCAAATATTTCCTGTTCCTGTTTTGTTCCCCCTCTCTCTCTATGTTGCTCCATCTATCTCATAATTCACCCTTCACATCATTTGTGAACATATTTGAGTTTATTGGAATGAAATTTGTATTCATTTAACTATGTAGCTACATCACGTGCAGTTCAGTTTTTGAGGGTATAGACTCCGAGGAGATGTGTTAAACAGTAGTATGTTAGTATGGATTTTCATCAGCACTGTTTCCTCTTCTGACACACACCCACATGCGTATGCATACTGTTATAATTTACTGTGACAGATCAGTGGAGTAGGGCCAGTGCTCAGCTGCTCGAGACAGAATTAGAATGGCAAACAGCTGAGCTTCTCTGGGGTGCTATCATGTGACCTATTCTTCCCACAGGGGCAAAGGAACCCAGGGTTAGAGTTACCTTGTCTAGTTGCCAGCATAGCTGTTGTGTGTGTGTAAAGCTGTGTTCCTGTGTGCATTTGTGTCATATCTCTTCCTGTTTTAAAAAGAATTTCTCTGCTTGTCATCCCGTTCATAGCCGCTCCTTCTGTGTGACTGTCATTGGACGCGCTCTGCCCTTTGTCCCCCCCCCCAGCTTGTCCCAGTGACATGCTTAGGGCTGTTTCTGATGTAACAACAGTCCAAATCTGTGGCTTTGACTTTGCAGTGGGTGTGTATTAAACAGCCTATACCTTATCTATGATGAAAAGATGATATAAAATCCTCTCTGATTGCCAATATGGTTTTAGGTCGAACCGATCGACATCTCTGGCCATTACCGACCTGATGGAGGACATAACAAGTGCTATGGATGAGAAGAAATACACGATGGGAATATTTATTGACCTAAAAAAAGCATTTGACACAATCAATCATGAGTTATTAATGGATAAGTTAGAAAAATATGGGATCAGAGGAATGGTTTTGAATTGGATTAGAAGTTACTTGACACAGAGGCGTCAATTTGTGAAGTTGGGTGAATACCAATCGAGTGAGCTGGACATTGTATGTGGAGTGCCTCAGGGTTCTGTTTTGGGACCTAAATTATTTATACTATACATTAATGATATATGCAAGGTTTCTGATTTAGTGAAAGTGGTTTTATTTGCTGATGACACTACCATATGGGCATCGGGTGAAAACCTACAGCAACTCTCTGGACGGGTTACACAGGAACTTGAGAAGATAAAGAAATGGTGTGACAG